GTTTCCTAATATTGGGAATATTTAACCACTGTTACTTCTAGTTTTCTCATCTGTAAAATGAGAAGTTTAAACCATATGATTTGTAACTTCTCATTTAGGCCTAAAATTCTAGAACTTTAGGAAATTAAAATACAGCAAGGATAAATGGACACTGAACACAGACACAGCCATTGGGGTGGGGGACGGGGGCAATAACTAGAGATATAATGAATTTAAAATTATCAGTTAAATACATCATACTATAAGTTGATAATATCAGTAATAAAACAAATGCCTAATAGACAATATTGCTAATTGTTTAGGATATTTTTATAAAAGAAAATCTATGATTTATATACTAAATTACCAATGACTAGAATAGCCTTACACTTTTCATTTACCTACAGATAGGACAATGGAAATAAATGAATGCCTTCTCTTGCTATCTAAGGAAAGCCTTCATTTAGCCAGGGCTTCATAGACCCCGCCTTCCACCCCACTTTTAGTTCAATGCTAATATTAGGCCTAAAAGCAGTCAGTTAACGCCCAATTTATTATTAACTGTACTGCAGTTTGCAAGCCACTTCTGTTAGTACTGTATCTAGGAGTATAATACCAAACGCTCATAAATCTTTATTGGCTAACTAACATTTGTAAGATTTGGGTGGTGTTCAGATTTTTCATATTTCTATTTTGTTGAAAAAATAAAAAATTCCTAACATCTCTAAAATTTCCTCAAATTAAGCCTAATATATATGTTGGACACTATATAACAATTCTTACTCTCAGTTCTTGCCCAAGGTTATCATTATTCTGCAACTTTAAGTGAACTGGCACTGTATGGGGAATGAGCCTTGCCACTACAGAAATACCTAAACTACTGGGGTTTGTCTTGGCCTGAAATTGCAGAAGAAATTAATTCTATGTGGAGTTTGGGTGAAAATTAAGGGAACATCAAAAATACTGAGAAAAAAGATAAATCTGTGTATATTATACCTTCTCAAAGTTAAATAAATTTTGTTAATTTTCTTTGCCAAAAGTTAACATATACACATATAAAGTGCCAGCTAAATTAACATTTTATTATGTATAAAAGTTGCATAATAAATTTATGTGTAAATTCAGATTCTAACATCTGAATTTGGCATAGCTGAATTTGGCAATTACACAAATTTCAGAAAACACATGCTTTCTTTTCTTTCAGTTCCAGTATTACTTCAGCTAGTGTTCCCAATATATTTTGTTAAATTAATGAATGCATGGCTTTGAATTATTTTAGAACTTTACATGCAGATAATAGCAAGAGAAGGCACTTTATTCAAGACATAGAAGACACAGTAGGCCAACAAACCTTTAGCCATTTTACATGCAGGAAGTTGAGCATGTAAGAGAAATTTACCATAATGTTATCTCCTTCAAGGCGAGCTGAGTTTAGTTGCTTAAATACATAGGTGAGAGACAAAGAACATATTATACCAATGAACACAGTGAAAGAAGTTATTTCTGCACAATAAAGAACACACAAACAGGTAGTAAAACAGCTGATAAAATGATTTTCTCCTAAAAAAACTATATTGTTCTGTGGAATTTCATATAGTGGTGCCTATTCGATATTGCCAAAAGATTCAAACTTTCAAAGACCAAAAATACGGTTTTGCTAGCTTGATCTTAAATTAGAATCATACAGGAAAAAATGCAGCCCTTTAAAAACTGCCACCATTATCTACAATTTTTATTAAATCTTCACCTATTAAAGCCCTTCTGCCTCCCACAGCTTTCCTATTCAAAGATCATTTCTATTTTATGAATGTATGATGCCTTCTACCACGTTATCTTTTAATCAGTCTCAGCCAGGACTTGGCATACCCTGAAGAAATATGAAAGGCATGTCAATCTTTATATTTTAAGTAAACTTCAAATTCTAGTATGTGTACCTTAAAATTAAGGTGATATGCTGGTGCTATAAATTCATTCATTTTACAGATTAAAGATTAGGAGTGCATGGAAATGCTTAAGTGAGCAGAGAGACGTATTGGCTGTATTTTGTTATCTGATGACATAGTTTTCCATCATTATTTACACACCCAAAACTAACAAAGGCCTAAACCTCTAAATGTTAAGAGTTTTGAAACCAGATGATTGTTTTTTATCATTTACAAAACTCTAAAATAATTTTAAAAAATGTTTACATAAAATGAAGATTTGGTTAATAAATGTCAGTGTCTCAAAATTTAAATATAGAAGTTATATTTGTCTTTGCTTCTCTGACATAAGTTTTATTCTCTTTTCAAAGCTGTATTTTTGTTCATCGAAAAACATTCAAATAGGTTTTCTCTTTCCTCTCAACTGGTATATTTCAGAAATGCCTTTGATGTTGCTTTATCATTCTTCATTAGTAGTTAGTAACCATTAGTTACTAATGCTAATAAAACATTAGTAAAGCAGCAATACTGGATATAGGCACAAATATTCTTCTCTTAGGGCTAGCTAAATCACCAAAAACTTCAATCTATTATGAGATTGTGGACCAATGGCAGCAGAAATTTTGCATTATATATCTATGAACACTCCTCAGCAAAGTACCCTGCACAAAATTAACATTCAGTAAACATAAAATTTTAATAAAGGTCACAAGAAACTAGTAAATGATATTTTTACTGATATGCACACATCCCAAACCTTACTTGCAAAGGAATAACTAGTCGCAAAACAATCCATGGAAATTTATAAATAAGCGAAATTAAAAAATATCTGAGGTTAGAGTAACCACTTCAGCTGCCAACCAGAAACCAGGAAATGTGTCAAAGAAAAAAAAAAAAACAAAAAACCCCCAAACTTCTGTGGTTTCTATTTTTCTGTATTCTCTAAAAAACAACAACAACAACAACACAAAAACAAAAAAACAAAAGAGAAATGGAGAAAAAAAATTCACAAAATAAACAACACATAAACAAACAAAAACCAAAAGAGAAATACAGAAAAAAAATTCACAAAATAAAAGCATGCTTCAAGTGTTTATGCAATAACAAACTAAAAGGACTTTTCCTTTCCAAAGTATTTCACACTTGCTACTATAAAGTTTGAAGAAAATAAGTTGGTTATCTAGGGGGAAAGAACACAACTAAAATCAGGAAATGTAAATTTTTGTCTAGCCTAACATTTTAAATAGTGGGCTACAGTTGTTTTATGCAATATATAAGTTCTAGAAAAGCTGTGTTCAAATGCAATTGTTGAATAAAATCATCTGTATAATCTTTTTTATTTTAAATGTAAATTCTCAATAAATTTTGCCTTCAAAACAAAAATACAGCACAGAAAAACTGACAAGATCTTCTTTGGATATATCAAAAGGCAACATCTCTAAAATTTGTCTACTATTATTCTGAGTTCTTGTATATTTTAATAGCAGTGTTAAAATAATTTAGAATAATCAAAGGACCTTGTATACTGTAAAATCTATGAGCTTCCTGGCACACTTCCAGGTAAAAAAAAGTGGACTACTGTTATCCTATAAAAGCACTTGTTAAAGGAAATTTTGTACTGATTCTTGACAGCAGTATTCTTATTCCACAATCATCACTGGGGACATATAGACATTTTGAATAAAGAGATTCTGTTCTAGTTCAAACACTTATTTCCAAATGACCCTCATTTATCTTAACATTTTTCCTGAATAGAAAATTAATATCTGAAAAACCAATTTATATTTTACTATAGAAATGTATTATTAGCAATTAAAAATAAATATCCTGAGTCTCTTGCTAACCACAGGGTTCATTTTTAAAGTTCTGATTCTGCAAAAAGTCTATTTAAGGAAGCCTGACTGTTCTTGATGATGATGTCGGGATAATTCTGAGAAGAAACAGACAGTGAATTTGAAATTAATGTCTTGTCAAAGACAGCTCTTCTCCTGCAGTAACTAATACAGGATCTCCAAAAGGGGAACTGTGTAGAAGAAAATATTTTGCTCATATATAAGTTATTAGGGTAATCTCATTAGATATCACTGTTCAAAACCAAGTTATCAGTTGTAAGTTTTATTCAAAACCAAGTCTCAACCTTTTCTTTCCCAAAACAAGAGAACCATGACAGACTTTTACCAGTATTGTGCTAACATGCTCCTTAAGGCAATGATTCTTAATGGTGGTAATGGTAATGAGTTGGGAACAGAAGGCAGTGGGAATAGCATGCTCTTAATGTATCTCTTAGCTCAATTTAAGAATGAACTTACTAGCTAATAAATTCAGATTTGTTTACATTGCACTATCTTAAAGTGTTTCAATTTATGTCTGATTAATCTTTTCAAACTTTGGAATAAAGATTTAAACAGTATAAATGTTAGATTAAATAAGCAGCTTATAAATAAAACCTTGAAGAAAGTTTTATACATATATCATCACTGAATAACTATGTTTAATATATACCCCCTCAATTTTATTTGAGGTTGTTTTTATGAAAAATATACCAGAACTTCCTTATCCAAATAGGTTTCCTCCTTTTCAAAACAGCCACCAGTAAGTTTGTGGTGCCACTGTTTCACTGTTATCTGAACTATTCTTGGTGTCAACTCCTTCAGTCAGTTTGAATCACATGTGGAAAGGAAGTCACATCTACTTTTTAAGCCACACACCAGCCTTCTCAAACTTGATTCATTCTCATCTTAATTACTGTTTGTTTTCCTACTTTAAATATAATAAATCTATCTCCAAAAATACTATTTGTCACCAACAGAGACTCAGGATACTTAAATAACATGACACATCTCGAGGAGCTCGTAATTTTTGTTTTTTAACAACAGGGGCATCACTGAAATAAGAATACTGTCTTTTGATGGCGATTCTGCACTTATTTGGATATATTACATTCAGGTAGGTCTGTTTAAAAACATAAAAACAACACCCTAAAGTCATATTCTAGTTTTAATGACATACTGTAGGTTGCATGGTACATGAGTAAGATATTTTTCAAGTCTGAAAGTTATTAATCTATAATTTTTTTTTAAATTAAAAAACACTACTTACTGAAGCTCTAGTTTCTGCAGCTTTTGCCTTTTTTAATCTGGTTTTTGCAGCATCCAAATCCAGTCTCTTATTTTGTAATAGTTTCCTTTCTTTCTATAAGTTTAGAAAAGAAAAATATAAAGGCTAATGATGTTAAAATCCAGTAAAAGCATACACATTTAAAGTATTATTTTCCATTAAATATACAAATTTGATAAACTAAGATGTGTAATTATGAAATTGGACTAAATTGACCATTTTGGGTATCTGACTCCCTTTTCTTATTGTTTTCAATTGTAAATTAACAGAAATTTTAGATAAACTGACAGAGACATTTAGAAAGGCGGCAGGTGATGGTAGAAACAAAGGAATATTAATGCTAATATTTTGGAATTCTGCCCCACCCCCAGGAACATTTGGCAGTATCTTACTGGTTATCACAACTGGCAGAGGGATGTTACTAGCATCCACTGGGTAGAAGCCAGGGATGCTGCTGAACATCCCACAGTACATATAGTTACCACAATAAAGAATTATTTGGCCCAAAATATCAACAGTGCTCAGGATGAAAAACTTTTCAAACTGTTAGTTTATTTAGAAAGTGCCTTTGGTGAAGAAAGTACAGGCCTAGGGTAAAGCTGCTTGATACCCTATATGATCACATGCGTCTAACACTGAAAGCAACTCTATTACTCCTAAATGGAATTTTAAATTTATAGATAAATAATGAATAAACACATGTATGGTGTCTTAGAATTTCTCAGGGGAACTTCAAGCTTCTATAAAATAGGTATGATCATAAGAATGCATTGTTTGTTTTATTAATTCTTAGATTTCATATATCAAATTTTGTCCTATTGACAGTCTACTATCTTTTAAATTATATTTCAATTTGGTGATTTTTCTTTTGTCTCAGGTCAAATAGTTTTACCTAGAGATAAATTCATTGTAAACATATTTTCTGTAATTTTTTGTAAGAATAAGAAATCTGCAAAGTTCGACCTAGTATTTAAAATAGAGTAACTTTGCAATAATCTCAGAAAATAAAAACATCCACCTAAATCTCCATTCTCCATCACTTAAAAAACAAATTACACTGAAAAATAACAGACAGAAGTCTGATAGTCAGAAATATAGCTTCTAGTAATTAGGTTTCTGGCTACCAGTTTAAATAAATAGTTACATGGTTATACTACAGTGATATTTTGTGCCATATTTTTATAATCATTCCAGGAACCTTACTCTGTAGATTTTAATGCTGGCAATAAACAAGAATGGATGTACGGGTATCTCAATAACACTGGAGGGACACAAAAAAAGGAGGCCATATAATCAACAGTCCTTTATTCTGTTTGGTTTTGTGTTGTGTTTAATATATACCTACCTAGACTATTTAAATTTTCTAATCTGTGACATCTACACAGTTATGAAGATGGCAAATTATTGATTAAAAACTGTAAATATCTAAATTTTTTACTAAAAATGGAAATACTTTTCAACTCACAGCGATTGTTTTGTAATCTCCTTCTATAAAGTTTCTTAAAGGAGTGAGAAAGTTTAAAGCTGATGTTTGAATCAGCTCTCTGTCTGCAGTTCCAATTCGTTTTTGTGTTTCTCCACATTTAATAAGAGCATTACCTACAAAGGAAAAAAAGCTTTTTTTTACCATTGCCTGCTAACATCAGAAAACAGAATCATGCTAAGATAGATAATTTGATTTGCTTTATACTTGTCACTTGTTTACTTAAGTAAAAATCAAATAGAATTAACTGTACTTAAGGCAGTTTTATTTTAAAAGTGAATTTAAGATTGTAAATATCTACCTAAAAATGAAAATAAAACTCCTTATCATAGTTATCTGTATTCATTCTACCAGTGGGACAAAAGAGGATGGATACACTAAAATGTATGTATGGTCACAGCTCAAATAGTATAGACAGATTTATAGAAGTATAATGCTTAAAATATTATAAGAAGTAGATCAAGTCAAAATTTGACTTGTTTCAACATTTATGCACTAATCTCAAGTATCTATAAATAACAGTATATATTTGTATTTTAAGTTAAAGAAAAACCCATGTTTTTCTTTATGGAAAACACAGTGAAAGAAAAGGGAATCACAAAATCAGGATTCTACTCCCAGTTCTCTCTTTAATACACTTTAGATTTGCGGATCTTAATTCCTTCACTTTAGGATGAGATTAGATCTGACTAGTACGAAAGGCAACAATATTAAAAAGATAATAATATAAAGTAGCAGTTAAGAGCTCAATTTCTGGATACAGATCTACATTTGAATTACTAGTTGTATGATCATGGATGGATTATGTAACCTCTCTAAAAAGTCTCCTTTTTGTTAAAATGCAGATAACTGAATTTACATTACAAATAGAATATAAAGTGAAGATTTACTAAAATAATTATATTGTATAGTGTTTAGTTCAATGCCTAGAATATTCAACTGTTAGCTAATTATCAATTAATAATATAGATTCACAAAGCCCAATTCCAATTATCAGGATACATTCAATATAACTATTAGAGATGCACACAGATTAACTGAATTGAAAAAAGAAAAAATTTAGAAGCCTTTCAAATGATCATGCTCCACTAGGCCTTCAATTTGGTGAAGGAAAGGGCTGGGTCTCCTTAAACCTTTATGACTCCAGCATGTAACTGAGGCATACCAGGCAATAAAAAAATCTGTTTAATGTATGAAGTTTTTCTAAATTTAAGAATTTCTAAATTTAAAATTTAGAAACAAAACTACAGAAATTGTAAGTATTTTTCAACTTCTGGAAAAATCATATTTTGAAGAACACAATGTAAAAATTTTAAAGTTGTACATCTAAAAGCCAGTCAATGGATTAAATGATATTCAACACACAGTATTGAGGTTATGTCCATTTGACAAAAGAAAACTACTAAAGTTTAAGTTCATTTAGTTCCAGGATATATGAGCTATTTCATAAATTAAGACTATATGTAGAAAATCATTTAATTTACTTACTTCATATTCATTTAAGGGTCAATTTCTTGCAGAAGTCTAAGAGAATTATTAGACATGCATAATAGGAAAAAAACTATAGAAATCTAAAATAGTCTTATGTTGAGAAAACTGGATTTGAAGGATAATGGTTTAAAACTTTGAGCTTCAGAGTTACACATTAAAAAAGTCAGTATAACAACTAACAAAACTGGAGAAACTATAAAACATGATTATAAAAAAATAAACTATATGAAGAAAATAGAACTGAAATATAACCTAAACATCCAGAGATAACCATTGTATTAACACTTTTGTATTAATGACCATATTGTGTAAGACAGTTGAGTTGAGTTACGCAGTTGGAGCACTTACGGTTCACTGAAGCTCTGAATCCTCAGGGATGCCACCCGTGCATGCTCATACTCTGTTCGGGTTTCCAGCCTAGCCCTTACCATAAAACGCTATTATGAGGCCTCAAGCTAATAGGACTGCTGATTTGTTCAAACACTTAACTATGTGTCAGGTACTTTTCTATAGAAATAAGCCCTCAAGAAAGCTTAAAAAATAGAGGAAACATGTAAACAAAAACTGCAATATATCGTAAGTACCACAACAAAGGTGTTGCAAGATTCAATGGGAGAGCAACTAAGAATTCATTTAACTTTTTAGATCTAAAAAGATCACATGAAATCTCAGAACAATATATCCTTAAATAGTGTCCAGCACAAATAATGCCCCCTTTTTTATTACAAAATCTTTTATTACAAAATCATAAGCATGTAATTCTGTAACATAACAATATCACATTGAAGCACACCTTATGACATTTTAGGTGAAACGTTCAAATTAAAACTATAAATTTAATACACCCACATTACTACCCTACCAACCATACTCAAGCAGGCATTACTTCAGCTGGGCCCTGTATAGTACATGTTAAATTGAACTATACATACTTGTAACTGATAATTCTCACTTCATCCAAAATTTTACCATAAAAATTTGAAGTTAAAAGTGATTCCACTAATATTAGGTAAATGTTAATGATGCCTTTAAATAGTAAAAATCTAAAAGTAAAGATAGTTGTTAATAGACCTTTTGCCTCTTGCTTACCATAAGCTGTTCCTGGGCCAAATTCAGTCCCTGCATCAATCATATATTGTCCCAAAAGTTCTGGGTTGTTTATACGACTTGGAGCTTTTCTATCCAGTTTCTCATAAACAAATTCTTCTATCCTGGCATCTACGAGAAAGGTTTAAAATTACCAATGATTTCAAAAATGCAAAAGTATTTAATAGACTGTTTTGTTTCACTACTACCCATTTATTACCCTGTAAAATTAACATGAAATTAGCATGTTTTCAAGTACTTATCTTAATATATATTTTTATTTGTGCCAGTTTAACTCTAAGAAACTTACTATTTGAGAAATATAAAAATATTTTAAGAGCCAAAATATTTTAAAATAAAGTAAAACTATTGTATGAGTAATTTATGGGATTTTGAATTCTAAAAAAGGGTTAGTATTCACTTAATATCTAGTGAAGTTGCCTTTGCCCCATTCATATGTCTAATACTTAATTTTGAATATATGTTTATAATCTCAAAAGCAAGGATCTCCAACTATGAAAATATTGATATAAGACACCTAGAAGAATCAAAGAGTCATATACTTCTGACACTCATTTTGGGCTTTTGATTTTTCAAAATCTCTCTCTCCCTCCTACAGTCTAAATGTAGGCATGGGGGTTTAAGAATACAGTAATCCAGGTTTGGAAGAGTCTACAGAGATCAGCAATATGAGGCCTTGGCTTAATTTTATTTAATTATATGTAAAAAATATAGATATGTAGATACCTCTGAGTATTCACTCAAAAGATTTTATCATTAAAAATAAGACTAAAATACAAGACAAAGGTTAAAAGCAATTATTGAACATTAGTATAAATGGAAAGGAAAAAATATGAATAAACAATTTAGCATAACAGTCAAGAAATTCACATTTATATTGCTGCCTAACAGTGAGATATTTCAGAGACAAATGAGAAAAAGTCCAAATCTAGAAACAATGATTAAATATAAATATACAAAGTCTGTCTGGAAAAAGTCCAGCCATTATTAACATAATGAGAATGGTTTGTGTGACATTAATGTAACCTGGCAGCCAAGGAGAGTGGAATGGAATGCACATGCATGAACAATGACTTCACTGTACTAGTCAGTGGGGGCAGTAGACTCTGGTGAGTGAGCATGTGTACTGTGTGGCCGTTGCATTCAAAATGACTGAGTAGAGTAATATATCTGCATCAAATTTTGCGTTAAGTTTGGTCGTTCCACTGTGGAAACTATTTGGATGATTCAGAAGGCCACAGCTATGGGCAACTGGTGATTGGCAGCTTCATCATGACAATGTGGCTGCTCATGCATCACATCTCGTGCAGGCTTTTTTGGCAAAACATCATATCACCCAGGTGACTCAGCCTCTCTACAGCCCAGATTTAGTGCCCTGCAACTTCTAGCTTTTCCCAAAACTAAAATCACGTTTGAAAGGGAAGAGATTTCAGACCATTGATGAGATTCAGGAAAATATGTCGGGGCAGCTGATGGCAACTGGAACTGTGTGAGGTCCCAAGATGCCTAATTTCAAGGGGACTGAGACGTCATTTTTCTATGTTTCTTGTTATCTTTTATCTTCTTCAATAAATGTCTCTATTTTTCATATTACATGGCTGGTTACCTTTTGGACAGACCTTGTAAATTAAAATTATAATTCAAAAAAGTTAAATATGTTCCTTTTAAGCATCTCCATAACATAATTCCTCCATAAGTGGAAGTTTTACATAGTGCACTGAAATGTCAAAAATGAGCTGACCCAACAGAGAAACACTTAAGGAGTTGGCAAAAGTTTTAATTATAAAAACAAAATAGGCTGTTGGAACAATACTTGCTTTTGTGCTAGACACTGGTGCAGCATCAGAAGATCTTAAGCAGGAATTGAAAAACCATTAGCTTAGTTAAAACCAAAGTGTCGGTCCAAAACTAATCATTTAGAAAATGTTACCTAAATTTCAGAATTTCATTTTCTGACTGTGAGAATAATGCTTTCAGCTTTGCTGCTTTCTACCTGTTTGGTCAAAAGTATGAATTTTATGTTGATTTCATTCAGTTAATAAGACATTTGATATATTTAAATGAATGTTTCATTTCAACAAGTCTTAAAAATATGTAGGCAATTCTGCTCTAATTTAATATATATATTTCTGAAAAATCCTACATTCTGAAAAGTCATTCACTAAAAATGACAAGGCTCACAGGAAAAGAGTTGGGTTTAATGACACAAAATCTAAGTAACTTTGTAACAAGAGCACAAACAAATATCCAAAATAATTCTGTTACTATTTCTAACTTAAAACGCTAATATAAAATGGTATGAAACACTAATATAAAACAGTATTTATAAGCCATGGTAACTTCTTTATACTGACACCATTCCTGTTTACCAGTTGTGCATGAATTTATTTGCCAATCTGGAAAGCATGTTTTAGAACACACTATGCATGTGAGGAACTCTGAATAGAGCGCAAGGAACAAGAGGAAAACCATCTATTACTTTTTTTTTTTAGGTACTATGGTATATAATTTAAGTAGCCTTAAATGAATAAAAAATACCACATGGTATCCAAAGACTAGGCCTCACTCAAAGTGTAAAAGGCTGTTTAAGAAGTCACTGCAATTGAAATAAAACGGCACAGAATTACTAATAGTTTGTATAGTGCTTGAGTTTTATGTAATAGCAACAAAATTGGAATTTTAAGTTAGTTTCTAAAAGTAAGTTTATGGCACTCACAACATGGTCACACTAACACTGGGGAACAGGGGAAGGAAAGCGTGTATTGTTGCCTTTGTCCTTTAGTTTTGATATGTAAGCCCACAGTGAAAAGCCTGGGTGTCAATACACTTGGTTCTAGTTCAAGTTCCTCTTTAATTAGCTATGCTACATCGGACAAAATGCTAACCTGTGAGTTTCAATTAATAAACAAATATTGTGCACCTTATTAAAATGTTATTTAGTTGAGTGACCCAGAAAACCTTAAAAGTTGTCAGAAAATCAAATGGAATAACTTATGTAAAAGCATAAAACTTAACATAAATAATTGGTAACTATTCAACTTTCTATACTTTTTCCCTTAATTATTTAGGGAGGATTCTCCCTTGGCTGAAAGATTAATTTATTTTCTTGGCCTTTCATAACTCTTAAAATTCAAAGTCACTGCCTAAAATTGAGTTTTACAGAGGATTCTACAAAGGCCTGAAAAATGGTATTTGTCAATTTGTTAGAGTATATACAGAGGAGGGTTTATCACGCTTTTCTTCACCAAGGCACACAAAAAATAACCATAAGCCTCAAAGCCACAAACCAAGAAAGTCTGTTTTCTAATAGCAATGAAAACTTTTTTTTTCAACATTAAAAAAATCTAACAGTATCTTGTAATAAGATTAGTCAATAAAATAGACAAAAGGTAAAATGTTTCTTACTTGGATTTGGCTGCAATAACACTTCAGTTTGTTTCAGTATTTTTTCTGTCCATATTTTGGTACATTCAGCTTTGCTAAGGAGGTTCTCTAAGTGAGCATCCAATTCTGTCTTCTCTGCCTGGCCAAGCTTTTCCTCCGTGAACTGTTATTGATTATTAAAAAAAAAAATTAAATATACTTCAGACACATTTTAGGAACTTGTATCAATAATTAAAAAGAAACTCAAATCCAAACAACCCCAACCATACAAAAAACTATTTGTAAACCACTGCATATGAATGTTGCCTTTTTGCCCCCATGGTAATTTCACCCTTATTTCTACCTGTTTTGGAGCACTTATTATGATCCTATTTTATAGTTAACACATATGCTTAGTTCTTCTAAAATATATGGTTACAGAAAATCTAGCACACTGTCTGGTATACAAAGTATACAAATATTTCTGACTTATAAAGGTAGGATAGCATAGTGGTAAGGAGTAACAGCTTTGAGTCAGTTGGATCTGAATTCATGTCCTGACTGCAATGTGTATGACCTGAGCAAGCTTTTGAATTTTTCCTTAGTTATCCTCTATCATAGAAGAGAGACAATATATATCTCACAGTGCCTTGAGAATTAAGAGTATGTATGTAAATCACTTTGTGTAGTGCCTTGTAATTATTATGTTGAATTTAAATAGGGCTGTTTGTTTAATGTGGCTTTGTATTATTGGCACTTTAATCACACCTGGTTAGATAGGCTTTTATGAGATGTTCTGGGAAACTACCATTTAAATTGTTTCTTTAGGGTATGTTCCAGCAATTGATTTACAGACGAACTTTTAGAATATATCCTAATCATACTAAAGAGGCATCTTTTAAATATCATAAAATGTAGTTTAAGGTACTCAATGTATATTATCTTGTGATAGTTTCTGAGGAAAGGCAGCAGTGCCCATGAAGTAACAAAGAAGTAAAAAGATTTCCATGTAGATTTTGATGGAGGCTTCTAGATATTTTTAATACTGGAAGTGATGACTCAGGCTGCTTATCATGCATAATTTTTTTTCTAGAATATGTGGAGTTTCCCCTACATTAACACAGGTATATCACTAGCATTAATTCTATGCTCATTAGCCATGACTCATTTCTGGCTAACAAATCATGATATTCACCTTGTTTTTCTTCCCCTTCTCATTTCTTAAAATATTTTCTGCTGTTCCACTTTTCTGAGTTTTATGACGTTTCTTCCAGCATCCTTGTTTTAGTCTAAGATTTTCAACTGATTATCACAGCACTTTTAGATTTCTGCTTACAACCCCTACCAAAGGTCTTGTTCAGGATCTAGGAGTAATAGCTTTACTAGTTTTTGTAAACTCTTAGCTCTTTTTGAGCCTGGCCTGTAGCCAAGTCCTGACCCAAAGGGTAGGACTGAGAAAAGCAGTTCCAAAGCTATTGCCTAATCCCAAGGTTATTTGGCTAACTACGCAATCTCATTCTTAAGAAAGAACTCTAATCTTCTCTATAGATCCCTGAGATTCTAAGCAATACACCTCCTACAGAGGTATAGGTTAGAATTTTACAGGTTCAAAGTCTACCTCCAGTGGTTAAATAGATTATCTCCTCATAAAGCAACCAATAGGAAGGAAAAAAGTGAATAAATCCAGGACATTATCTACAAAGGATGATCTACCAGTACAGCAAAATTCTTCACTTAGCACTTTAATGAGCAAGTATATCTATTTGTTTGTTCATTGAATTCATTTCTTCAACAAACATGTTTATTAAGCACCCACACATGTACTAGGCACTATTCTAAGCACACAGGTTTCACCAGCCAAAGTAACAGACAAGCTTACTGCTCTTAGGAAGCTTACATTTTAATGGGGAAGACAGACAATAAACAGGTAAATAAATACTTTGATAATAAGGATACAAAAGTAAAAAGAAGGTAAAGAGCAGACCAACAGGTATTTCTTGAGTGAATTACTAAATGATTAACTGCTTGAATTAATGAACTCAAGCATAGGTCAGGAGGGAAGAATTCATTCTGCAAAAAAATGAGCAAGAGAATGGGAAGGCTTCAATATCAGAGGGATTTGCAATCTGGGCCTGGAAGAGGGTGCCAGAGTTTGAGGATTACTAGATGTGAGTGGTAAGAAAAACAGCCTCTCTGAGCAGGTAACAACTAACCTGAGATGGAATGGTAAGAAATGAGCATGTAAAATTACAAGGGAAGAGAATAGAGTCCTCTGGTGATTTCTAGAGTCTCATCAGCACTACCTTTATGTATACAAAGTGTTTTTTTTGGTAGAAGTTCTTAATTTATGTTAAATAACCAAGAACAGATTAATACAACAGTTAGCAGATCCATAATTTTTAAAAATCAATATTTATTAGGTCAGTCTGTGCAATGCACTCTGCTAAGAACTAGAAGACATGGTCTCTGTTACAGAAGAGCTAAATGAAAATTATCCAAACAGTATAAACCTGCAGACCTATTTTTTTCGTTCATAAAATCATGTTAAACTTTAACAGATATTTCTAGAAACAAACTGGAATTAAACAAATGGGCTAGAAATTACTAAAAAATGTTTATTAATAATGATGAAAGAAATAGTCATTGAGCTTATCTGATACAGGTATGTTTCAGGGCAATTTTTTTCCCAGTAATATTCCAGAGAAACAACAATTAGAAAGCTAATTATTTAGAAAGCAAAACATTTCTTCTTCTTTTAAAAAATTTACTCTCACCTGAAGACATTTTTTTCATTGCCTTTTTAGAGAGAAGAGAAAAAGAGAGAGAAACATTGAAGTGAGAGAGAAACACTGATTGGTTGCCTTTTTGTATGTGCCCAGACCAGGAATCTGCAACTTGGTTATGTCCCTGATGGGGAATTGAACCCTCGACCCCTCAGTCTAAGGGACGACACTCCAACCAACTGAGCTATACTGGCCAGGGCTGGAAAACAAAACCTTTCAATCTTCAGGTCAAAGATCGGCTTCCTTAATTAATATTTCTTTGTGATTTCATGACACTACCTTATAGGTTTCTCTCCTTAAATACACATTTTTATTTTTTTAGTGTGAAAGTGTAATAGAGCAAAAATGAGTATTTGCAACAAGTCATTTATTTGTATGAGTTTAAGCAAGAAACAAAGAAAATATGTAAGCTGACTTACAAAGTAAGATTCTATAAACATAGTGAGTAGGTTTTTTACTATTTAATTCACAAGGCTAAAAAACAAAAAGCAACATAAGGAATGCTTATGCCATGAGTGAAATAGAGCTTGATTACAGAAACTGTTTATAAAATAGCAGCTCTGTAGAGAGGCCCGCATGAGCAATGTATTTAAGTACCAGTAATAAGTTCTATCTGATGCCTATCTGCATTTGTTAACTAACTACATCTGTTTCATATTTTAGTAGATTATATATGGTCATTTTATCCTCTAATTTGTTTAAATTTTTTTTCTCAGTAAGATCATTTACAAGACCTTCTTTTATATGTCTGTATTCTTAACAGTGTCTGAGCTTAGTATATGTTATTAGAATATGCCATATACTAAGCTGTGCATTTTGTAACAGACACTCAAAAAATTATTATTTATATAAAAATCATAATTTCAGTGATGAAGTTGAGGATCAAAATTATTTAACATTTTGCCCGAGTTGTCAGTGTTGAGATTTGATCTAACATCTGTCTGAATCATTGTCTTACGTATACAGTTAATACTTGCTGTCAAAAAAAATCATATTTTCTATCACCACTATCCAAACATTCTGTGCCTCCCTGCCCCTGATGATTGTCAATTATCATCAAATCAAGGGTAATCTTAATCCTATATAGAATAAGCAAAACAAAAGGGTGGAGGGAGACATAAGCATATTGCTAATGTTATCATATATTTAAGTTGAAATTATAAAGTTAAATTATTATTACTTAAATGTGTATTGTAAAAGGCTTAATAATTCCCATGATTTTTTCATTGCGGGGCTTAAGAATTTGTCCCATTGTTAATCAGAATGTATGCATATTAAGGTAACAAAATAGTACAATATTTGATAGTTTCCTCTAAAACATTTCTAAGAATGCAGCTACTGCACAAAAATGATGAACTATATCAAATAAATTAAAGAGGCTTAGATTATTAATACAAATATTTATAGATAATATAGTATTTATTTTCTTATATTGTATGTGAGATGTATAATCAACATATGACATGGTTCTTGCTCTCAAAGCTTTTATGATCTTAACAACACTGCTTAAAGACAAACAAAGTTATAACAGCACCCTTTTTAGATGGACAAAACACTATATTTTTTTTAAAAATTCCTTTCCAAATTACTGAAAATTTTGAATTTTTTCCTTAAAAATTTTAGTTTCCAACACTGAAAGATCCAAAAGTCAGTCCAAAATCATTACGGACTTTGTAGTCTCTTGATGATAATAGTTGTTAATTAGAAACTACAATTGATTTTAAGCATGTATTTTAATGAATGTACAGCAGTACCACTTAATTAAAAACTTTTTCAAATATTTCATTACTAATACAGTAAAATGACATGAGAACAGAAAGTTTAATTTTCTATACATACTGAGTAAATGTATGGACTTTGAATGTGACACTTAAATTACAAATAACTTCAGAATGTCTCTTAAACTCTAGAGACATTCTGAAGTTATTTGTAATTTAAATTCTATAAAGGAAATGGAAATTCAGAAGGGCTTGAGGGAAAGTATTTGGCCACGGTGAAATTCCATCCCAATAGCATCTGATTGGAGCTAGTTGAGGGCAGTATCATATTCATCTTCACATCTATAGCTTTGACATATCATTAATACTTGCTTAATTACGTGGGAGATCAAGGCCATGCTTGCGACTAAATTTTATAGACTTTCCTCCCCCCTCAGAAAATAGCTGGTAGTCATGAAGTTCATAGTTGTAACTTCAGTAGTCAGTTCAAGGGAAATGTTAGAAAATTAAATTAAACCTCCTCCCTAAGTAATTTAGTTTGAGAGGTTTTTTTTTTGTTTTTGGTTTTGTTTTTTTTTTGGAAAGTATACTCTTATTTTAAAGGTAAGCAAAGTTTTACTTCAATATCAATTTGAATTTAAAATGTGCCCACTCGAAATATTAAACCAAGTAAGAGAACAGTAATTCACAAACTGAATATTTACTATAAAGAGTAAAGTATTTAATTATGACAAATTAGGACCAGACTATTAAGTCTTTGAGGACAGTAACTAAATTTCATTTATCTTTGAATTCATTGCGCCAAGCACCTGAAGACGCACTCAATAAATTTAAGTTGAATTAAACAGCTAAATATTTTTCAGTGGCATTAATCAACTTCCAGGTTAGCAGATATAACTTATGGTTACTAACTTGCTTGGTGAAAATAATATAAAAAAAATTAAAAAGAATCCCGTTGGATGTTGTGAGAAGGGGCTAAGAAACAGTTGATTCTTTAGACATACAATCTCATTAGATGTGAAAGCCATAGAGTAACAGAATTTTAGAGCTCCAAGGGACCTCACATTAGGAGAAAAATGCCACAGGATTTCATATCAAGTTTCTGTGGTCTAAGATGGACTTGAAGTGGTATTTAAAGAGCAAGAAAAACTAAACAGAGAGGCAGTAGAGGGCATTCAAGATGAGTTTACCTTACGAACAAAAGTCTAGAGTTAGAAAAGTACAATATTTTTGAAATTAATAGTTTGATTGAATTATATATGAGTGAGAGAAAAGACAAGGCTAGAAGGGAGTATTTAATGGTCAACTAAGGACTGAAAAGACAGACTCTATAAACTAATAAGTGGTTTTTGAGATACTAATACAGTAACAACTCATAAAAGGTAAATAACCTGATGCTCTTGTATTCTACTGTTTTGAGGGAGTTAAGAACAACAAAACCACCCAAACGGACTGTTAAGGAATGAACATACCTATTCATTTATACATTTTACCGTAACATGCTTTTTTTAAAAGTACCAAGGCACATAAATTTTACAGGGGATAGGATGGAGTAATAAAACTCATTTATATGCTTTAATAGTTTGATTTTAGTTTTTAAAAAACAGGGACTTGTTCAATTTTTAATTAAAAAAATTTTTACGTAAAATGAAAAAAAAACAACAACGTATGACAGTTGGTCAACCAGAAATGGCTTATTCCTTAAGATATAAATATGAATGTTGAATTATATTCCTAGTATTCTTATTACTTATAATGGGTAATTGGCATAGACAGCTTTCACTCTATTCTTAGCATGAAACTTGGTACCTTGGCACCATACTGATGTCAACTCAATTTAGAGTACGAATTCAGTTACTGACTAAATACTGCAAAAAAAAAAAAAAAAAAAAGGAAGAGCAATGTTTTGTTGAAAATTACTACACAGCATTCCAAATTTCACATATTACATATTTGGAACCATCTTTTTTCCCCTATATATTTTATTTTTAAAAAGTATTGTAGAAAATGTCAAACATATACAAAAGCATAATAGTATAATGAAACTTAATGAATCCATAACTCAGCTTCAAACTATCAACATTCTGCCAATGCTGTTTTAACTACATCCCTTCTTTCTTCTGAAATATTTTAAGGCAATTTTCAGACATGATATAATTTATACATACATATTTCAGAATGTATCTCTAACAGATCCAAACTTAAAGACATACAAAAGGAGCCTGCTTCTCCTGAAATATTTCCTTTCTTAGTAAATGGCTCAAGCCAAAAATTGGAGTGATCCTTGATTCATTCTCCTCTCATATCTCAAAGCCAATCTAACAGGCAATATTGGATACATTCTGAACTTCACCTGCTAACACTTACTAAGTCCCATCACCTGGCACTTTTGCTTGACCTATGTCCACAGCTCCTTAAGTGGTCTCCCTAAGGCCCTCTGCAACCTCAGTCTTTGCACTTGTTCCCTATGACTAAAATATTTTTCGCTCAAGAAACGAAACTGTCACTTCCTTGAGCCTCTCTGAATTCAATCCAATTAGAAAGGCTTGCTGTGTCCATCACTCCTATACAGCATGGCAACCACCACTTCTGCCTTTAACCTACCCCTGCTGGCCTTTTTCTCCATTGTTACCTGATGTATGTACTAGTTTGTCCTCTTTTACTAGATTGTAAGCTTCAGGAGGTGTTTCCTTGATTTTATTCTTTGCTGTATCACCAGTGTTCAAAATAGCAGTAAGAGGCAGTCATGGCACAGACACATCTAAGTATTTAAGACTGAAAATTATTTGATAACTAACAGATTAGATCATAATTTTAAAACTCCTAAGAATTTGAAACACCCAGTCATTAAAATTCATTTGGAAAATAGTACATCTTTTGAGAGTTTTGACATATTTTTAAAATTGAGTCTATTGACAATTTAAATCAAATTCTAGTATGTGTTCCATTTAAGCAGTATGGATTATGTACCTGAAAATATATCTGTATTTAAAAGACTGGCATTATATAGTGTCAAGTCTGCATTCAACATCTAGAATCACAGGGAATCAGCACTGAAACAATAACCAAAGTCTCTTGTCTCTCTTGCAGTCAACATTAAGTCTCACACATCAAAATTTATTTCAGACCTTCACTCACTCATTCTTCTTGCACCTTGTCTTTGAACTATTAGAAATCAGCTAATTTAAATTCAAAAATTATCTGAACTATAAGGTTCAATGTCTTTATAATATACCTTATATTTTTGTAGAGGAGGCGGAGAAGAGGGTTAAGGAAGCTAGCTTATTACTCACCATGCAGATTCTGGAACTTGGATATAAAGACCTAGAAGGAATATCCCCTCTCTTAAGTGGTACTTGCCTAAGTGTTACTGAAATGTTCAGGTTGTACCAGATGATCTTTAAGCCCTCTCTAGACTGTAATATTCTGTTATTTTATGTATCCTAAATCTGCACAGATTATCCAGGAAGAGAGAAGCAGGTTGTAATAAGCAGCAGGTCAGACGGCACTTGCTGTTTACTAGCCATGCAAGTTAAGCAAGTTACTCACCTCTCTGAGGCTGTTTCCTCATATATAAAGGAGGTTAATAACATCTATCTGGCAATGTTACAGAAAGGACTGGAGATAATCTGTCAAATGTCTAGCAAAATGTTTGACAGTTTTTTTCACAATATAGGCAGCTATTACCTTGTTCTAGTTCTACCATTCTGGTGCACAAAATCGGGGTAAAGGGAAGCTGTAAAGCAATACGACTGCTTTACACTTCACTATCAATTTGGTATACATTAGAAAACTATTTTTGTTTTCTCTTAAGAGCATACTGTTGTTACTGTGCCTATGTCATTAACTTAAACACCAGACTGTTTACAACCCATGTTGTGAAATTTACATCTGTTCATAGATTTAACCGAGTTGGCAATAATGTGGGTGATGACTGTAGAAAATTCTCTAAGTTCCCTAGTTCTGACACTTCCTTGATTGCCGAGTACGACGACATAGTTAACTTTTCCCCTTAAAAGTATATCTGAAACCTCCCCTACACGAATCTCTCCCCTCTCTCTCCGGGCCCTAGAGCCGGTACTTCCCATTTTGAGTGTGTGGGAACTCCCGACCTCCAGGTTTCCCGTGGCCTTAGCAAAGTCTGGATGCCAACTGGTGATCTCCATTTCTCCCGCGAACGGTCAAGCCCAAGGACCGTCCTTTCCGGGAGAGAGAGGAGCTGGAAGGAGCAGTGCGGCTAGCTCTTTGGGTTGAGGGGCAGGAAAAGAAAACTTCCTTAGAAGACTCGCCGGGGAGGGTGAGAGAGAGGAAAGGAAAGGGTGGGGGTGGTGCCAGAATTGTCCGTCTCACAGTAACCCAGCGGGACTTTCAAGGCCTCCGCCCGCCCGGGGAGGGAGGTCACACGAGCACCCGCGTCGTGGGGTCAGAAAGGCGGACGGTGCTGTGTGCCTCCGCTCCAGGCTGAAATCAAGGTGTCCTCCAGAGGCGGGAGGGAGCTCCGGGCCCCGTCCCCCACACCGCCACACTCCCCGGGGAACAGTGGTTGGGTAGGACGGGTACGGAAAACAGCCGCCAGGCCCAGAGGGGCACCAGGCCGCGCCCATCACCCGAGCCTTCGGCCACAGCAGGCCTGCTGTGCCATCGGCGAGGCCGGGGGCGGAGGGCGCCCCCGCCTCGGGCTGAGCGCTCCAGTATTCCCTCCTTGGCCCTCCGGGGCACCATCACCCCGTCCTCCACCGCAGTACCTGCACGGCACGACTGAGGAAAGTGCCCGCGTCGGCCGCCAACTTCTTCACATTGAAGTCCATAATGTTCATCCTGGGCGGCAGCCAGGCGGAGCTGCCGGCTGACCTAGCGGGTAGGCGGAGGCGCCAGGGCCGGGTTGAGGCGCCGGGCGGGACTGGCGGGGGTAGACGTGGTAGGTGGAGGGAGGCGGCGCCAGCCCCGTTGCCGCAGCTGTTGTTTCCGTCAAGGGGAGAAAGAGGGTGGGGCGAGGGAAGAACCAGCGCCTCTTAGCGGGCCACGCGCCTGGGTGGCCACGGTCGAAACGCAGGGCCTATCCGGTCCGGAGTGCGGCCGCTAACGTTGGCGTTGGCCTCAGATGGCAAGCAGAAAAAGCAAGGATTGGTGATCTGGCCCTCTGTGTCGGGATCCTCAACAGAGGAAGCGAGCGCCGCTGAGGGGCGGAGCTTTTATGGAGGTTATCGCGGGAACAGCGACCCCTTCAGGATCACCGCGGCACAGCCGCGGGGGGCTCTGAGAGTTTGGTCGGTTCTGCCCGAAGGAAGGTCGCGTTTGCTGGGAAGGTTCGCGCCGTGCGGCTCTAGTATTTCTGCACGTTTGCGGTTAAGTCCCTGAGAATCAAGGGCCCAGACAACTCAAACCCCTCTTTTTGCTTGGGTTAAAAATACAGATATTGGAGCATAGAATTGCAGTATTTGTGAAATTAGAATGAACAGCTCCCTGTCATCTTGTAGAAACCACGCCCTCTCGTCTCTGACGCCTGAATGGCACTCCACGGCGAAAGCTGCAAAACAGGGTTGAATTTAAGGTCCATGCCGAGCCAGTTTTCATTCATTCAGCATTATTGAGTATCTACTGTGTACTGGAACTGAATCAGGTGCTGGAGGTACCATGCTGAAAAACACTGTCCTTGCCTTTAAGAAGCTCTCGGTTCTTGGCCACCTTAAGAGACTTCACCCTCAGTGGAAGCTCTGTAACTATTTGCTGCGCAAGGACTTTGTGCACACGCTAGCTTACCCTAGGTGCCTATTGTGTGCCAAGTATGATGTGCACAACACAAATTTCCATAGCAGAGGACGCGCGCGCGCACTCACACACACACACACACACTAAAATGGTGAGAGAAAATAACCCTTAAAGATTCAGCATGGCGAAAATACGTGAGAATATGATGTGAAATCTGTTTTTTTTTTTTTAAAAAAAAACACGTAATTCCGAGTAACTTCTTAAGCAGTCTTCGTGATAGAGCCGGTGTTCGAACTAAGTTAAAACAGCTGCAAACTAGAAGAGAGTCGTTAGTATTTCAGGAAAACAGTGTTTTTGTTTGTTTACTTTTTTTTTATTTGGGCTGTGCCCTTTTGTTACATTAGAGCTGGGAAAATGCGGGCCCGCAAGCAATGAAATGAGCTCACATTCATGTTTCAGTGTTTACTGAAACAGCAGTAACAGAAGGAATGGCTGTTGTTAAAGGCTGAATGATCAGTTCCTAAAGGCATTATATGGAACAGCAGATAACATAAGGATTTGGTTGTGTTCGTTTATTCTTTGTGGTAGTGACAGAAACAATCACTTCTTTCTAAGACAATTCCAATAGAGTAATCTCCTAGACCAAAAATACTGCATGTATTTTTCATCTCAGCCTGTTTTTTGAGAAATACAGAAAAAGAAATATATAGTTAGAAATCTTGTTTTTTTATTTATTGTCCACAGTTATACTTTTAAGCACTTACTGTCTTTGTAGATGTCTATATTGACAGTAAGTATGTTTGCCATAATCTATGTGCATTTCTACAAAAGGATCACAACACCACATCCACCATTAGAGAAAAAAACCTCTGGATCCTCTTCCTCAAAGGTGGAGATCTACATGACTTGAAAAAATAAAGCTGCATTTGTTCCTGTTGAGATCTCTATAGCAATAATACCGTTTCTCTTGTTTCACTGACAAATTCATAAGACTAGGGTACCGATTTTATTTTCTTATTACCCATTTCCTTCCTAATTCCATGAAGGTGACTTCTACTTCTGTAACTATACCTAAATAGCATTTTTGAGGTTGCCAATTATCTTCTTGATAAATCAAATGACCTTTTCTCAGACTTCCATATTGAATCTACTCACCCCCTTCCCATCAACATACCCCTGGTTTTCCTGCTACCTCCTGGACTGTCTCATTCCACACTGCTGGCACTTCTGATGGCTTTACTGTAGGGAATTCATGAAGCTCAATGTTTAGCACTTTTTTTTTATTCTATTCTTTTTGATTAATTTCTTACTTGTGGCTTCAATTAGGCCACTTCTTTCTTTCATACATTTACTTAGTAAATACTTTTTTTGAACATCTATTCTGTGCCACATGGCATTGTTCCTGTGACAACAAATATTGCAGGCAAAAAGACAGTTCTAGCTGTCATGGGAAATTATAACTAATATGGTAAGACAGAAATTGAATAAGTACTTACAAGTGTGAGGAAATGCCAAGGAGGAATCCAGTGTACTCTTAAATGTTTACTTCCAGCCTGTACCTAGTAACCTTAATCCTAATTTGTAGGCTTGGTCTTTCTGTAAGAGTTCCAAACCACCTGTTAATGTTTTCTTTTTCTCTCCCCTATATTACCTTCATATTCCAATAATGCATGGTGTTAGGAAAGCGATCTTTTTAAGCTCATACAAAGTGCTGAGTATCTGAAATCCTCCTAAAAGTTTGTAGATTAAAAAAATAAACTTTTATTAAATGGCATTTTAGATAGTATGATACGTATTTTAATATTTTTGGTAGTGCCAATAAGGAGTTCACTTCCTCATATTCAGACCAATGACATCTAAAGTGAGGGTGTTGTATACTTCATGGGCTATACAAGATGATCCACTGTGGTTCAGAAAAAAATATTAGAAGTTTGGTTTGTAATTATTTTTATCTAATAATTTTTTTCATCAATCAAAAGAATATATGGATTCATAACAGGGTGAGTCAGGCCAAATTGCTGGGGAGCAGAGGGGGACCCCAGTCCAGGAGAGACCCCTATCCATCAGCACTAGCACATACCCCACAGAAGGACAGGGAGAAACCCTGAGGTTGCAGATTGAAATAGCCACAGGAGGAGGCCACCCCAGGCAATTGTAAACAAACCAGCCACATCAGCATGCACTGCCTGGCAAGGCAACCAAGCAGCAAAGTGCAAACTAACAGAGGAGGGGCTACAGGAAGAGGCTGATGCCCAAGGCAACAGTAAATACATGTGTGGCCCTGGCAGCTGAGCAACTCATGACCTAGCTGGAAGGAGCTTGTACTGAGGCTGCGTGAGGCTGAAAAGATCAAACCACATGTATATGGTGGAGGTCAGCAAGCCACAGCAGGGGCTGGATGCCCCGCCTCAGGCTGAGATGCTGTGCACCAGTGTGCTGCTGGGAAACTTCTGCCCCCTTCTGCAAAATGGTGGTCAGAGGAGGGACAAAGATGACTTTGAGAAACATGGCTGACACTGAGCAACATTGGTTGAAAAGCCAGACACTCCCACAGTGCATGGAATTTTGGGGGAGAACTTTAAAACAGAATGCCTGCAGAAGCCTCCCTCTCTTCTTTGCCTTGCACCCCAGTTGGGGAGTGCTTGCCGGAGAAGTTACGGTACAAGCAGGCACTGGGCCTACTTGAGGCTTAGGCCTCTCATGGTTGCAGGCCAGCTCGCAGAGACAGTCCTGTGCAGGGATATGCCAAGTGGGGCCCCAGCCCTAGGGATGCTGTTCAACACACCACTTGTCCTTGACTGCTTCCATTCTCTCACTCTGAGAGCTACACCCAGAGGTGTGAGCTGGGAACATTCCTCAGCCCCAGGTATACAGGCGGCCTCAGGCACTGGGGCCCTATAATGGAGCTACCCCTGCATGACCGTCTGAATTGACTAGGCAGCACTCCCCAGACCCTGAGAGAGAAAAAGAGAGAGAGAGAGCTTCATGAGGTGATGGTGATGCTGAAACACACGAGAGCACACCAGAGAGAGAGCCTGAGGATGGATCGTGTAAAAATTTCCAGCTCCACAAGGACAGATAAGGAATGATGGGGAACTTTTGGGCATGATTTTTCACTTCAACTTTTCTGGGAACATGGGAATTTCTGTGTTTTGTGGAAGAGGTTGCCTTGGAACAGGAATACTTCCAACCTCCTCAAATTGGGTACCCTGTTAATAAAAACCTCTTTCCTTCCCCTACAAATCTTTCTGTTATTCATGCACATGGCAGCAAGTAGCTGGACCCTGGCTGACTGGCTACAGATTGACACTGGTGTCCTCATATTGCATTTATTAGATAGATATGTCACAGAGAATAAATGAAGTATCCTAAGGGAAGAGTGGGGATTCCAGTCTGGAAGAGTTGAAAGTACTTTCCTTTATTTACTTCAGCATATGATCATATAGTATAGTATGACTGATTAAGTTTGTAGATTGTATTATCTATCAAGTTTTAACTAAATAAGTATTCACAAAAATGGACAAATATTGGAGAAGTCCAATTCTTATTAATATTTAAAATATTAAAGATTAAATATTTTTAATCTTTATTTTTAAAATTATATTTCATTAATTATGCTATTACAGTTGTCCTGATTTTTCCCCCTTTGCCTACCTCCACCCAATAACACCCACTCCCTTAGGCAATCCCCCAACCATTATTCATGTCCATGGGTCATGCGTTTAGGTTCTTTGGCTACTCCATTTCCTATATTATACTTTACATCCCCATGGCTATTCTGTAACTACCTACTTGTACATCTTAGTCCCCCCACCTCTTCACCCATTCTCCCACTCCCCACTCCCATCTGGCAACAATCAAAATGCTCTCCTTATCCATGATTCTATCTCTGTACTTCTTGTTTGCTTAGTTTGCTTTTTAGGTTCAATTGTTGATAGACATGCACTTTTGTCATTTTATTATTTATAGTTTTGATCTTGTTCTTAAATAAGTCCCTTTAACATTTCATATAATAATAGCTTGATGCCAGTGAACTCCTTTAGTTTTACCTTTTCTGGGAAGCACTTTATCTGCCCTTTGATTCTAAATGATAGCTTTGCTGGGTAGAGCAATCTTGGCTATAGGTCCCTGCTTTTTGTAACTTTGACATTTCTTGCCAATCCCTTCTAGCCTGCAAAGTTTCTTTTGAGAAATCAGCTGAACCTTGTGGGAACTCCCCTGTAGGTGATTAACTGATTTTCTCTTGCTGCTTTTAAGATTCTCTCTTCATCTTTAATCTTTGGCATTTTAATTATGATGTGTCTTGGGGTGGGCCTCTTAGCATCCATCTTGTTTGGGGTTCTCTGTGCTTCCTAAACTTGCATGCCTATTTCCTTCAACAAATTAGGGAAGTTTTCTTTCATTATTTTTTTCAAATATATTTCCAATTTCTTGTTCTTCTTTT